AGACTGTTCCGAATACATAATCTCTTTAAATAAACATGTTCAAAGAGTTGAAATAACATTTGTTTGTAAAGTTTTCCATCTACTTTCTATAATGACTATGCCTATTACATCTATCACTATTATTTTCCCTCCTCTAATACAAAGCCTGGTGTAATACATGTTATTATCCTTTTATTCAGGATAAAGAACCTAGAGGCATAATTCCACTAGAAAATCTCTCCGTGAGGGAAGTGCCATACGCTCGCAAACCGGTAAGATTCACAGCTGTTAAACACAAACAAAATGTTTTAGAAACTATTCTTAAAGAACTAAACTATACTTTAAAGCAAGTGTAGATTAACATAACCTTAGATCAAGATTTTTTTATTTGATGGACTCTAATGGTGGTGATATGATGTCATGTACTGTAGTACTGTCTGGAGCTGTACAACCCCAACAGTCATGGGCAGAAGATCAAAGCATGTAAAACTGAGACAGACGGCAGGGTGGTAGAGGGGAAACATCAGTCCTACACCATTTGTGCATCCAGCGCTGAAGAGAGAGACTCCTGGATTGAGGCCATCAGGTTGGAATTTCAACTTATTATAATGGATATGTCTACCAAAATGTAATCAGACAACCTAGGATAGATAAACATAGAGTTTTCATCACATACCTTTACATTGCTCTGATACGTTAATCCTGTGGACAGCTTGAATTAAAGGACACCCCTACTGTTAACACCATTCACATTTACCATAAAAACCAAAAACAAAGAAGAAAACATTTAGTACTTGATACTACTGCTTAGGATTTTTAGAGCATGAATGCAAAGTGCTTGGGGCTGTAGAATAGGTGTCATAGAAACATAAATCCTGTTTTACGGAGCAGTTTTCTTTGGTTTTCTTACAAGCCCAAGTCAGCATATGTGAAGACATTATATCATATATTATTTTAGTAGGTCAGGTATATATTATGTGAAAGAACACGGGGTGGACTGGTATGACGTTTTGTAAAAATACCCTAATTTGATAAAAATTTTTAACTGATTTTATGTGATTAAATTCGGCATCAGAGACATTCTTGCCTGCTAATACCCCAATAGGATTTCCAATGCATGTAGGTGGCTTGTTTTTATCTCAGCTGTGTTCACTATAAAATATATTTCTTAATTTACATGTCTAGAATGAAACAAAACTTAGATCTACACAAACTAACTTTTGGGTGGGGCTCATTAGTTTTAGATTGATTTCTAAATGAGGAGTAGAGCACCTATTTTTAACCAGCTGCCTGACCTTACAGAGCAACAAGTAGGAAGGTTAACTACATTAACCCAAACTCTGCACAACTTGTGAAAACTCTGGTTACTCTGGAGCCCTACTAATGATGGAACTGAAAGTGATGCTAGAGCTATTGCTCTCAATACCTGAATGGCCCACTCTGGCTTTCTATGCATATTTGGGGCTTTTCTGGGTACTCCAGTTTCCTCCTTCAAACCAAAGAACAAGCCAGGTACATACATAGGAAATCCTTTTTGGTTATGTGCACACAGGACTATCATGAAATCATTTTCACTTTTTTTTAATTCATATTGATAATAGATGTATATAAAAGAAAAAACAAGAAAAAACTAATAACAACTGTCTTAACAGGGCGAGTATCACCAAGGATCCCTTCTATGATTTGGTCTCAGTCAGGAAGAAGAAAGTGATCAACCAAACTCCTCAGGACTAAGCACTGCAGTAGCCCAGAGCTTCTACAGGGATATAAAACAAGTGCCAATTCTATTGGCAGCCTTTCTTCAAGATGCCTGGACATACTTCATCATGCACGGACATAGGGGCACATGAAGATGAAAGAAACAGAACTGACGTTGGAAACATCTCTTTTCACAGACTGAGTCAAAACGGTGTAAAAAGGTGAAAATAAACCAAAGGAGTCAGTATTAGAGTGACTATTTCAACAGGACTTGTCAAAAACTGCTGAATAATTTTACAATATTAATCCTTTCTTACAAAAAAATGTAAAAATGCATAAATTTTCTGTTAAGGAAGCTAGATGTTAACTTGGCAACAGCAACCATTTCTGATATTCAGTTCATCCAATTAACTGTCATAGCTCAGAAAGAGAACTCCAACATGTCATTATCTCTTTTTATCTCAGAATTCTTATAGCTATCATAGAGCTTTAACACTTTCAAAAAAGAAATAATTTTTGTTTGACAGAGTTGGCTAAAGATGCTTTCCTTTCAAATGTGTCAGTTTATAATGAAATCTTGTAAAGACTGTAAATAATATGAAGAAATCATGTCTTTTTGGTCTGTAATTTATACTGTTTGTTATTATCGAAGCGAAAAACAAAAATGTCTAAAGATTGTGCAATAGGTGGTATTATGTTGGGGTTTTTTTTGTTACACACCAGATCTGTTTATTGAATATAATAGCTGTGTGTTACTGATCATAAGGTGTACATTTTTTCTTTGTAACTACAGTATTTTTGGGTATTCTGGTGAATTCATTGTTGAATTAAAAATATCCATCTATCACAAAAAGAAGTAAATCCTTCTGCTTTTTTTTCAAGTTCAGGTATAGCCATTTGACAGCTGCGTTTTCAGTTGAATGCTCCCTAATTCAGATAAACTTCCTCATTGTACACTGACTCTATGTAAGCTGAAATGTTTAACCTTTAACCTTGTGGGTGAATACAGTTCTGTCAAACGTTTCCTCTTGATTTTAATTTGACAGAGTACAAACATGTGCTGTGAGCATAATGTACTTACTGTAAGTCTAAGTTTAGAGTGTGTTAAACATCTCTCATGTTAACAGAATGCATTTAAAGCTGGAAGATAAGTAAATACTTACAGTAAGACACGTTTCCTTTTTTTCAATGAAATAATGGTATTTCTGAAAGATTTGATAATTTCATTCAGTTAAGTATGACTTCTGCAAATCTGTTTCTAAAGCTGCTTTAAGAAACTGAAAATCTACTCGAATATCTTCTGGCTTTAGAGTTTTTTCAGCTTAGGAAAAGATGCATGCAGTGGTGCATGATAAACATGTGTGGGGCACAGGAAATAACATATTCTTAAGCCTGCTGGTGTGTCAGATCATGTAGCCAGTGCATTATTGTGAGAACATCTCTTCCTGCTGCACCTCAAACTTCCTGTTTCAGTATTTCACCACAACCTGCCCCCACCCTCCAACTCGACAGTTCCCATCAGAGCAGTGGTTCCCGTTTGAGACATTAGCATTAGGTAAAAGCCCAGCGCCATGTAGTGGTCAGTTTGTACGCTGCACGCTGATGAATCAACACAACAGATCAGGTTGCTATATTTTTAATCAGGTTTCTCTTATGCCACATAGAAAGGGTGATATATTTCTCCTATGAACAGCAATGCATCATCTAAGGTGAATTGCCATCAATACCCAAATATTACTCGAGAATCACAGAGAAATTAAAACATAAAAAAAAAAAATGTATGTAAAAAAGGTAGGATGATGGCAAAGTTTCATTAAAGCCGAAAACTAAATCATTTGGATCCAAATCTTTATAAAAATCCTTACAAACAAGATAAAAAAAAAAAAAAAGGTAATACAGTGTTGCTTTAAAAATAATATTTCTAGATTTATGTCTTATGGCTGATATTATCTATTGCTTTATTCAAAGTTTAAGTAGGAAAGTTAAAAAGCTGAAGTAAACCTGGAAGAACACAGTCCTTTGTGGCACTACAGTAGAAGAGTTCTGTCACTCAAATGAACCTGATGACAAGTAATTCTATTATAAGCTTCACTATACCTCATGTGCAAACCATGACATTTATCGGATTCACATGACAGGTGCAGACTTTTTCACATGAAAGTCACTTTTTGATATTGAACAATTAACATTACACAGAGAAATTGCAGTATCTGAAAAATAAGCTGCACATATCACTGAAAACAAGACAGGACAGGAGAATTAATAATGGTTTCTGATCTGGGCTCTTAAAGATAGATCTTCACTCACTGTAGATGGTGCTGAAAATTGAATTTAAGCTGCTGTTAAAAAAAAAAATTATATATATATATATATATATATATAGAGAGAGAGAGAGAGAGAGAGAGAGAGAGAGATCAGACACAAACATGAAGAATGCAGAAGTGTTATAAATGCTAAGCATTTAACAGGTAGAATTCGTTTTTGATTACGTTTGTTTATTAAAAGGAAGGTAAAATGTCAATTTATTCATTAAAGAAAACGGGCTTTTAAAGGACCATACAAAACTTGTACACTCTGGTTCTTCTATTTTTATACTGGTCACATTTCAGCTGTGGAATGGCGTCCATTCTTTAACCAGTTTATTTGCAAGGCAGATAATGTGTTGTGCAAGCCACTATAGAAATAAACAGCATGCCATAGCTTATCCTAGAGGTGTTCAGTGAGGCTGAGGTTAAAAGCATGAATACCTTTTGTGCTTTTAACTTTCAAATTCTGAATGAAATCTTTGATGAACCAAAACCTGTGGACTTGACATCTTGAAGAATCGAGTTTGGTCTATAAGAGTGCGGGTATGGTATTGGCACTGGTTGCAAAGTCTCATCTTGATATCTTTCCTTGTCAAGACCATCTTCAATGATGACAGACTTGGTAGAGTTCTATAGTAGGACACATTGCCTCAACTAAAAGCTGCTGGAAACCTGCATCCATTTACTGTATTGCTAAGATTGTTACCATAACACTAACAAGTGACCAAGCATGCTTTTACCAAGTTAACTACAGTTCCTAGATATATTATTGTTTCAGTGTGTTCTTTTCAATTTTTTCTAAGAAAACCAGTAATCAGCGGATTCAACCATTAGAAAGAAAAGCTAACAATCATAAAAACAATCCAAAACCATTTATACTGTTGCCATTTTCTTAAAGTCATCTAGAGTTACCAAAGTAAGGCGATGTATATGTGCATTAGTGTGATGCAGTTATTTTCCAGGAAGTCATATATTTTTGGTAAAAAAAAACAAAAAACAAACATGTAATGAATATATATATTTCAAAATAAACGTTCCTATTAATGCTCTGTTAGCAGTATGAGTAATGAATGAACTTCATTGCAAACTTAGACCAAGCCCAAAAATATCTTTGGACAGTATGCATTTTAATAGGAAGAATCTCTATGGCTCAGTAGGTTTCAAAATGCAGCATTTTAAAATACAACCATAAGACAACTGCTTGCAACTCATCAAAAGACAAAAAGTATATCCTCCAGAACAATATAACCATGATTTTATAACAGGTTATAAAAAGAGCAACTGTTAGTTATTTACTCTGTAGTTGATCCTTCGGATGAACAGATGCAACACACAAAAATAAACCCTGATTGTTTTTTAAACATTCAACATTCTAATCCCAAATCCCTTTTAAGGTGGCTCAGAGGCAACACAATACAGTCATGGAAATCATCCTTGTTTTCTTCTTCTTTTTTTTAAGGTAATACACTCTTAGACAGAATAATTAATAAATCTTTCCTCGACTGTATACGTAAAAAAACAGAGATTCTAGCAGATCAGCGTAAACCACCTAGTTACACATTATATGAGACATAAAACTACCATATGTAAATCAATACCTGAAGGACTGTACGTTAATCTGGTCTTGCTTTATGGTGCAGGTAATTGCAGAGTGTCAGTTCAGTTTAATAAAGTAAGTTTCTAATCTGTTACTGAACACTGAAGTGTACACTGACAGAAACAGCAGCATGTTCAGTTTAGGATGTTTTACATCCTGACGGTCCTTTACGACGACTCTTTACACTCTTCCCACTTTTTCCACTCTTTAGACCTGTGGAGAGATGGAAAAAAAATTATTAAAAAAGAAAACAGTTTGATAAATCACTGAGAATTATTTTCAAACAAACAAGGCAAGTAATGAATTTCCCTAAATAAACTTTGCTAGAATCTTATAATCTTTTTTAATTTTTCCTTTTGCACTAATTGGTTAATTGTAAAGTTGCTGGTCGTTGTGCTTTTCACCATCTCCTACCTTTGCTGTTTTGGTTCTTATACGCCAGACATTTTTGTGTCAAAACAGCATTTAATGCCAAATGTGTAATTGAATACTTGCCAGGAGAATGTTTTTATATTTGTTTTCTAACCAAAGATTTGTCTATATTTTACAGGGTTTAGGTCATGATGGATACTAGCAATAAAGGGTCTGATTGCATTATATCTCAGACCTAGCAGACTCAGTCTAGGAAAGGAAAAGAACCAAATTAGTTGATCCAGAGTGCCACTCATTTTATTTAGGTTAAAATGCATAACTGCATTCAATCATTTCTGAGAAACTTTTATGACCATTTGTATCCAGATTATATGACAGTACTGTAGTCATAAATACAGTACTAAACCATTAAACAAATTGTTTAAGGGACATACAGAAAATGAAACATTTGAGTATGAATATATTAAATGCAAATGTGTACTATAGGTGTAAAATGAAGGTAAGAATGGAATCAGTTCATGATTTTTTTTTTATAGAAGTTGAAGTGTATAGTCTCATCTATTCACAATGGGTTTTTGTAAAGGGACATTGGTAGATACTAATCAGTTTGTTACTTACTCTCTCTGTCATGTGCAGTGTTGACAGTTTGCTGAGATGATGCTTTCTGGTCCAGTTTAGAAAGCTTCTTACTCCCTTTAGTTGGAGTTACTGGAGCCCCCTCAAAACTGTTTTCTATTTCATCAATTGGGTGATTTTCTGCTAGTAGGGGACTGATGATCTCTTTAGCAGACGATTTTTTCTTAGACTTAAAACTGAACCATTTCTTCTTTACTTTGGCTGGTTCCTCTGCGCTCTCAGTTGGGGCCTCTGAGAGCATTCGGTCTATCTTAACACTGCTGGCTAATCGGGGCCTTCCCTCCTCCTCAGGTATATCTGCAATATCCCCCTTGGGTAGAAGGTCTTGCAGTGATCTTGCGGGACGTGGAGGACCTCCGAACAACAGAGAGTATTTGGGGTTGTAGTATTTGTGGGCAGGAACCTGGAGCTCTGGATTCTGAGAATCTCCTAGGCTCACTTGGAAACGGGATGTGGTTGCTGGTAAAGGAGGACGTTTGGGCTCCGATTTGGAGCGAATCGTGGCGGCCACTTTGGAAGCTGGAGGACTAACATGAAACTCCTTGTAGAGGTCCACTTTGTCAGATATGGCGTATAACTCACGAAAATCTCTGTCGAAGAAGTCAACCACCTGCCCTGTCATCACAGTGATCATATTTCTGTCCATACGAGATGCAGACCAAGAGAAACTGAAACAGACCAAAGAGAAAATTAACTGATTTTAATGACGTCCATCAGCTTTTTCTCCATTATGTTTACAGTGACAATGTGCCAATTTCATAAAAAAAGAATACAATAAATAAATAAAATTATTATTTATTAAATATGTTGAACAAGAATTTTAATCTAATATTCCTCTCTTTATCACTTTACTTTTCAAAATTCAGATTTTTGGATGTAAATCCAAAAGAAAAGGGAAAAAAAAAACATCTTATCTTTAGAATATTTGTCATGATAACAGCTTGCCCTCTTTTCTGTTCCTGTTTTAAAATATTTAACAATATACGCCATGTTAATGCATCATGAGAAAGATATTTTCCAGGAATATTGTTATTAGCTAAACAGTACATCAGCCTGGTGCAAAACCTACAGAACTCTGTTGAAAGAAATTTATCAAAAATAGAAGCAGTTATTTTAACCTTTGATTAAAAAAACGTTCATGGTTATAAGAGCATCACATATAAACACACTAATATTTGTAATTATCCCCTATGGACTGATAATAAAAATTTCAAGACTGCCTATACCATAGAAATTCAGAACTTAATTACAAAAATGTAAACTAAAATGTGAAAATATTAAACATAAAACATTTTCTTCAGAAGAATGCAAGAAAATTATTCTATCCTAATTGAAAATATACAAAGAAAGCAACCATTAAAGAGAGAAATAATCATAGTCTTTATCCAAAAATATGAAGGAAAATAACACAACATTTTTTCTGAATATACTAAAGGCCTTCCTTTTACAGAAATCAACTACAGCACTTTTACACCTTTTGGGGCCTGAAAGGAAAGAAAATTCTGAAATTTAACCAAAAACAAAGAGGTATGGATCTGTCAGTCCTGTTTTATGCTTCCTTCACTGGCTATGATGAATTTTCTGTGAAATTTAAAGTTTTATTGGGTTTTCAAGTGTATTGGTCAATCTGATATAATTGAGCTTATGAGGCCCAACACCTGAGATCAGCCTACCAGCTCCTGTTAGCTGCCTATCAAGTCCTCACAGTCGTTAGATCAGTTTAGGGTACCTCTTTCCCCTGAACAAAGCTCTTGTCAGATAATGTAATCAGACGATGAAGTGCGTGCTATTGTTATATCTTCCAGACCCTAACACCCTGTTCCTTTATTTGAGACGTCTTTTGAAATCGAACAGAAGTTTTTCAGGCTGTGTTGTTGTGCTGAAATTCAATTGCCCATTAAAGGGGCTGAAAAAAAACAAAACAATGTCCTCTATTTTAAAATAGTTTGCCCATTTTGGAGACTCACAGAACAACATCAACCGGTGAGATCTGATTTAATAATCCTAATCTGAGCAGAGATTCTTTAAACCACAGTTTAAGATTCATGAAATCTTGATCACATTAGTAAAAAAAAGAAAAGAAAAAAGATCGACACTCCTTAATTTTGCCCAAAAAAAAAATCAAGATTTTTTTTAAATGCAGTTAAAGCTACAGTGTGTAATAATTACAGGCATATAAATTCAGAAATTTAATATATTATACATAACTATGTTATTTATCATCACCTATGAGCTCAGCCTTTTAACCATAACATTTGCGTTGCCTTAGAATTCGTTATTTATAATTACATAGGAGCGGGTCTCGCAGCCATGGAGGCAGACATCTTTGTGCTACGGCAGCGCAGAGGCAACAAACTAGCGATTGCGAGATCTCCCATGACGCTCGAAAATAACTACGGCAAGTTGAGAGAGATGAACTGAGACGGTACTGAACAGTAGATGGCAGTATTATGCCTGAGAAGCGTTTAGTCTGCCTGAAACCAAAGAAGAAGAAGAAGCAGGTATACTGCGCCTCGGTAACAAGAAAGGTAAACAAGGCGGCAGGCGTGAGTGACTTTGCAAACTGTTTGGCACTGTGTGGCCAAACATCAGACGAATGGAGGATCATGCCTACTCTGTATCACAACGAAAAGCGGCGGACACCGAACCCCCGTCATCTAAGAAGCGGAAACACGACGAGAATAAACGCAAGAGTGACAAGAAACGACAAAAAACACGGATCAACATTGGCACGGCATTTACACGATGGAAGTCACTGATGGAGGAAAAAGGTTTTCAAAGTGACGCTCAAGTTGCCAGTTTTCTCTTGGACAGGTAATTAATCCTATACACACAATTGTCTAATATCACTGCAGTTTTTGGAGTACAGGATGCTCAGACCTGTCTAAAACAATAACATGCTGCGTGATGATGCTGTTACTCTCCAGTATACTTATTCAGCAACGTCCCTGACGTTTCACAGGTAATGATTCAGTAATTTTCTGTAAAATAATTTTCTGGATATATACCTCGGTTACTTCTCTCCGGCTCCTTTGGAGATCTTCAAGCCTTTCCTCCTCTGCTCTCACCCCGCTGGCTCCCCTCTCTCGCCTGGCCCCAGCTGCACGCTCACCCCGGCCTCTCTGCCCTCTTCCTTTCCCTATTCCTTGCCTTGTAACCCCCGTGCCACAAACAAGACTTGGACTCTGTAAACGGGGAATATATATTCTTCCAGCGAACACAATCTCGCTGTTAAACTAATGACTACAATTACTTCGTCTGTTTATATCACCATGCAAAGCAGCTCACCAAAACGTCACAACGACGTAGAAAAAATAACGGGTATATTTATTATCTTAAGTCTACAGGAAATCTATACCCTACACAGACTAATGAAATACTATCTGTAAAATTATCTATGTAAACAAACCTCATCACTTGAGAAGGTAGGTGATGCGGACGTCGTGGAAGACATTTTGTCCCGTAACGCTCGCCGTACTGTTGGGGGGGAGAAGCGGTGGGGGGGAGACGTTCATGTTGCTGCAGTCTGCAGTCTGACCGCTAGATGTCGCTGAAAATTACACACTGTAGCTTTAACAAATTAAAAATTCTGTCTTTATTTGGGAAATGAAAGCCTACTAATTTCTACTTTTCCCCAAAACATAGCTTTTTAAATAGACATAAACTCATGACACCAGTATCACAACACCTAAAATAGCCTACTGAATAATTCTCCTCTTAAATATGCTTAAACTAAATCAAATATAAACGAATGTCTGCCACCACAGTAACATATAGACAATTACATAATGGGATGTTTAGAATATTAACAGAAACGGAAACGGTAACCCATTGCAAATGAAGAAGGAATATTACAAAATGATCACTAAATCACTCAATACCTCCTTCTCCCCACTGCCTATTGGACTTAAAGGAGAAGTTCGGTTTTTTACACTTTAAGCCCATTTTCTGTAGTGTCCAGGATGAAATCGAATGATCGACACCAAAAGTTTGACAATTGGTCCTGTCTCTGCTTTTTGGCTCATTTAGAATCAACCCCTGGCTGCTTTAGAATGGCTTGCATAGAGCATGTCCGATAATGTCCTTAAAACAACCTTAAACGTTCTTTTTTTAAAATATGCTACTCACCGGGTCGTCAGCGCTGTTCAATGACGTTCCAAAAAAAGTTTTGTAAAGAAAAAACGTTCCTGTAGTGTTTTATTTAGCATTTTGTAAATCCCATTGAGTTCTGTTGGAATAGTCAATATTCCCCTGCCACCGGAAACGGAAATGGGGCCTGATTACACAGTTGTTGTCTTTTCGCTTCACTCTGTGTATTCCGACGTCGAGGTGCTAACGTCTCTGTTAAACACTTTAAAAAACTCTGAAAATGGAATACGAAAGGTGGATTCTTGATTCTCGACGTCGGAGTACACAGAGTGAAGCGAAAAGACTACAACTGTGTAAACAGGCTCCATTTCCGTTTCCGGTGGCAGCGGAATATTGACTATTCCAACAGAACTCAATGGGATTTACAACAGCGCTGACGACACGGTGAGTAGCATGTTTTAAAAAAAGAACGTTTAAGGTTGTTTTAAGGACATTACCGGACATGCTCTATGAAAGCCATTCTAAAGCAGCCAGGGGGGGATTCTGCATGAGCCAAAAAGCAGAGACAGGACCAATTGTCAAAATTTTGGTGTCGATCATTCGATTTCATCCTGGACACTACAGAAAATGGGCTTAAAGTGTAAAAAACCGAACTTCTCCTTTAAGTGTTATCAGATTAAATGGTAACATCAACTGGTGGCAACTTAATAGTCCATATTTTACAAGATCAGTTTTATTATAAGAAGCTCAGCAAAGGGAAAAATGTCTACTGATCACTTCTAGTTTAAAAGATATTTCGATGAAGTTCAAATAAATCTGAAAAAGATTGACTTTCTTTAGCATGAACTTCTTATTTAAACATACAATCTTACCTGAAAGAGCCAAAAGCAACTTTGTCTCCATCAACCAGCATGTATTTACTACAAAGCGAACCAGGGAGTTTGCCAAAAGACAAACTGAAACCAACACCTTGAAGCATTCGTACTCGAATATACTGCAACAACACAGAATTTAAAAAAAGTGTTATACGCGAGGTAAGAAAACAGTCGATACAATCTAAGCATGTTTGTCTGAATAAGTAAATGTTAATGAAAGAGAAATATCAATTGAAAGTTATATCTTTGCTTGATTTTGTAACTCATGTGCAGTATAACATTTAATTGATGATCTTGTTCTTCTCATTGGCGAAAAACCTTGAGATGCATTAGCGCCACCAACTGGTATGAAGTTTAAGTGCTTCATCAAGGGTTAAAGAACACAAGGTTTTGTTAATTCATGATACTTACTTATAAATATGCAATTTGTACATGTAGTTTTGCAAAGTTTTTACATTGTAACTTTTATTCATAATTTATAAAATTGTATTTTCAATGATAAAATGGCAAAAATGTTTAATGATCTCTTTAAGACATCTGTTGTCACATGTACATGAGAGTGGCAACAGGGAGCAAACATAATTGTTAAGTTTAGTTATGTTTATTTACTAGGGCTGCAACTAACGATTATTTTAAAAATCGATGAATCGGACGATTATTTTTTCGATTAATCGATGAATCGGACAAAAAATATTTTTTATATTAACCTCTTTATTCCAAAATAAACATTATAGACAGAACAAACAAGCACACAAGTACAGGTTGCTCATTAACTGTACTGGTGCAATATGAAAAATAAATGTTTGTGTTAAAACTACGCAAACTTACATGAGAAATGTAGATGTACATCCACAAAATATAGGGTACTTTGTTTCATAAAGCGCAAAAAAAGACATTTTTGTTTTTAAAAGCCTCTAAGGGGTTCAAACAATAGGCCCCCCCATTTCAACAAATGAGTTTTTTTTAGACTAGAAGAGTTCTGCCTTTTAAGACAGGAAAGTACAGCAGTTAAAGTTGCTACTTGAGAAAATACTGAACCATAGAGATAAAAATAGCCCTGTGATTCAAATTATAAATTGTATTTGGAATAAAAATGAGAGAACTAGGGGTGCTAAAAAACACGTCCTCCAAAGACAGATATTTACATGGGAATGTGGCATATAATTAATTGACATATTACTGATCTTGCTGGATTTTATTCTGCTTTACTTCTATAAATTGCAGGATCATCTTTACTTTATCTTTGCCAGATTTAAACTTTAAAAGTCTTGCCCTCATAATTTGCAAGTTAATTTATTTATAAAGTAAATGTAAACGCTGCTTAAGCTAGTTCAAATGAAATTTAAAGTAAAATAAGTAGCCAACCTTATCACTGTCTGTAACCTACTAACAAGATAAGGAAAGCATCAGATGAGCTACCTGAGAAACTAACGTAACGTTTCCCCACTTTAAAACCAAACAAACATGGTGGTTCCGTGCCATGTTAATTTCTTTTGAAAAAAGTTGCATGTTATCACTTTTTTCACTTTACAAAGCGCAGGCTATTTTAATTATTGTGATCAATTTGCGCCGTCAATCCCGGTGCATGCGCGCTTCATTTGCAGTCTGGACGCTGAGGCTCTGACTGAGAGGGACTCCTGCGGGAAAACGCGGTTGGGGTGGGGGAGGCGCCCCACGGCAGAGTAGGAATGATACATGCTTTCACGTAAGAGTCTCCAAAAGCCACCAGTGACACCGAAAAAAGTCGCCAGATTTGTCGCTAGTCGCTTTTTTGAAAAATAGTCGCTGGAGGGGTCTGAAAAGTCGCGGAGTTGGCAACACTGCTCCTGCGGCGCTGACTCGCTCTGCCGTATTTTTTTTCCTTCCTCTTTCAGTCAAGAGGCAGTGATGACGGCGCAGCGGATGACGTAATAATCGCGCGACACAACTAATCGATGATGAAATTCGTTGCCAACGCTTTTAAAAGTCGATTTTTATCGATTTTATCGATTCGTTGTTGCAGCCCTATTATTTACTCATGTTTAAAAATTCCGACACTAATGCACATATTTTTATTGACAGTTACCTTACACCATAGTTCTAAGATTGCAGTCAATACTCAGATCTTTCAGAAATAGTCACACATTAAAATCATATTATGCTGTTTGCAGATCTGGCTCATTAGTTACTGCAACAAACAGCATTATTCATGATAAGATGGCAACATAACATTAACTTAAAAAAATACCTGCATGGTATAAAAATGCTTTTTTGTTTATATTTTTCAATTTTATTTGTTTCATTTCTACTATTTTCTTTCAAACTCTCATATTTAAACCTAGACCCCTAGATCTCTGTAAACTGGACCTACATCCTAAATGCATAGCAGTATGGTAAAAAAAAAAGAACTGTGTTCTCCTATAAAAAACAATTACACCCTTTTCTTTATCACCTTAAAATGATGTTCACATTAAAGTGCAGACTTACTCGAAGTTGTTGTGCAGCAATCTGAAGTCTAGAACACACGTCCAGAAAGTGAGCAACAGCTTGCTCATCCAACACAATGTAAACAGGCACAGACCGACGGGAAGCTGCATCCATCAGGTCCTGCAGGATGTGAATATCTGTAAGCATGTCCATCACTATGGCAATGACCTGCAGAATAAAAATAAAAGTCAGAGGGTCTCTGAATTTTCACTGCAACATTTTCTAGAAGCTTACAGTGAAATTAGATAGTGTGACATAAAAAAAAAAAAAAAAAAACAGCCCTGCAGTTGAAGATTTCAACAAGCTATCAAACACACTGTCAAAAGAGAGGTAATATGAAGAGGAAAACCCTGGAACTCAACTTCTGCTTACTTCTTTAGCCGACATCTAGAACTCCAGTTTATGTTGGGATAGAGAGAGAAAAAGATCTACACGGAAAAGGGAGGAGGATTTACTGTGATAATGTTTGTTAAACAAAACTCCCTAAAACCCACTGCGGCTAAGGCCTACCATGATAAGACTAAAAAAACTGAAACAGAGGTTTAAACTGTTAGCAGAAAAGTAAACACACACAGATAAAGCTTTGAAACATAATCATGGTTTTAATTCTTAAATATGTGTTGTTTCAACATGAGGGGGGTAAATAGATCAGTTTCTTTTAGTGGGTTAATTAGACTGAAATTCTACTGACTTTCCGGACCTTAAATTTTTCTAACTAAGCCGGAAACTATGTCGGATGTCTTTTTTTGTATTAACATAATTCCCCACAAAATCTTAAAGAAGAAAACAAGTACCAATTCAAAAGTTATAAGTTTTTCTCATTTTATTTTTAACTGAAATAGTCCTGTGTTTCACTCCTGGAGTCTGCATGGTGTTTACATGTTCTCCTTGCATATGTGTGGCTTATTCCTCTTTCTTGTATCTTTTATTTGCCCTTAGAAGTGAGTTTGTAGATGCATGGTTGTTGGTCCTCTAGCTGGACATGTTTGTTTTCTTTAAGTCACCCCGTCGACATAATGAAATATAGACGAAGAAATACTGCCTTTGCCATGGTAAAGAATTCATTCGTCAACAATAAACAACTTCCTTTCACCCTTTAACACTACTTCTGGCAGTTAGAGGCGGCCACCTCTAAAATAAAAAAAAAAATTAATTAATTAAAACACTTTTTAAAAATGTAAACTTGAGTTGTACGGGACAGTTGTTATTGTCGCTACCCAATCTGTACCATCAGCTCATTTGCGGATGCACAACCAGATATACATCCCGGTCGCCCTTAATTTTAATTTGTGAAAAAAGACATAAATTACGTTTTTTCCAACCTTAAAAATAGGAAACGTACTAAACTATAATGCAGTAAAGGTTAATAATGCATTTCCTGAGAAAATAAATTCCTAAATCCTTTCTGTTTTATCACTTGTCGTTGCCCATCTTTACTGGAAATGGGATGCTATGCTGCTAACTTTTTCAGCTTTGTATTTAAACATAAATCTATTTTTTTTTAGTTCTATTTTTACTTCATTTCAACTTTGAGCAGAAACAATCTTGCTTTGCCTCACGTAACCGCTCACCAGTAGGAGAAAAAAATTATTTTGGTTGATATAGGCCCTTTAAAGTCTTTATTAACCAAAATAGTTTAAGCTTGATCTTTGATCTCATCACTCCACAGCCATGCTGCTGGAATTTTTTTACTGCTTTAAACATTTATTCTCTCTGTCAGGAAGTGGAAAGAAGAACTCTGACCCTGGCCAACAGAAGCTGTCAGCAGCAGGAGCAGGCAGCAGCAGTAGTGCATAAACTTCAAAGTGCATTGGATGTTCTGCAGCTTAAATAGTGTCCAAATCGTTAGGTTATGTCTGATACATTATAATGAGTGTGAAAGAGATGAAGAGCAGGAAAGCAGCATAGCTCCAGTTGACTGCCTAAAATAAACTGCAGTGCCGCCTCATAAATTGATTAAAACCCTTTTACATCAGGTTTTGACATGATCCAAACAGGAAATGCTTTTCTTTTGAAACATCTCAAGTAACAACGTGTCAATAGTAAGTTGTTTTTTGTTTTATTTCTAAGGACTCCGTGTCATTTACTGTGGAGGTTAGTTTTAGATACACTCAGGATGTCGTTGTTTTAATTTCACATAAACAGGTTTGTTTTAGTCAATTTTAAACCAAAATTCTGCAGATGTTGGAAATGTAAACTAACCCTTACACACTGCCAGAACAGCAATCTGCAGCTCTCTCACTGTACTTTAAAAAAAAATCTGAGAATTAATGAACTCGCAAACTCCATTTACCTCCCTTTACTGACATTTACTTCCAATAAACATTTCAGAGAACCCACTCTGCTCATAAAATTGCCCGATCAACTAATCATTAGCATAAACAACAGCCACTCAATTATCTACACTGACCAGCTCATTTCATGCATCATAACATAAAATAAACACTGTTCCATGGACTCAAGTCCCAAACAGAGTTCAGTTCATGTCTTGAGCTTAGATATTAAACCAGTCCAAGGGACGTTTGAACTTTGTTGTTTCTGCTACATGTATATATAAAGTAAAATTGTAAAAGTAATGCTTGACATGAATTTCTGGAATAATTAATGTGCTTTGCACTTTTAACATTCACAAATGTTTATGAAAACCTGGTTTGAATGAAATGTTTTAAAACATCTTAACTATGACACACTGTGACAAAACTATACAGCTCCATTATGTAACAACAGAAAAAGGAAATTGTTTTGAAAAGGTAAACTTATGTCTAAATGGAATCACTTCTGTATGAGATATTTATGTGCAATGCATGAAATATAGGACTTATTTTTCTTTAAAAATTCTTGAAACCATTCTTTCCAATACAACACTTGCAAAATAGGTGCATTTTAGTTTCTCTTGTCTCAAAAAAATTCTCCAATCTCATACAGAATCAGTCAGATTTCTCTAAACCAACTTATAGCTCATTCAAAAGTTGCAGCTACACTGATCACATAATTATTTAGACACATATGTTTACCAACAATATAGGTTTTCTGTTTTCTTTTCTTGTCTTCTATTAGTTTTTCAGTGTTCCTATGTCCTAACTAAAAAGGCAAAACATGATGCCTTCGAAATAAAAAGCAGTCTGGCGCCACCCCATCTAACCACTGAAACCTATGAATTGCCTGATCTGTGTGACAAAGGGTGAGTGAAACTTTTCCAAAGGATTCCCTGCTATTTGAAACAATCACGAGACGTAACTCGAGAACACTAAATATCAGGCAAAAATCAAACCCTTTCCTAAAGAAAACTACGAATCAAATAGAGCTTTGAAACATGTTCCAACATGCCCATTGCAAGCATGCAAAAAAAAAAAAAGTGTGGGATGTGTGTATTGTTTTGCCTTCTAAAGAAAAGGCATGGAAAAGATTAAGCTGAATTCCAGTGAATGTTTCTCTCTTTAGGTGACAAAGCTTACTTTTTCTGCTCAAAAGAAAAATGCTGAGCAGGCTCCTTAGTGTAATTACTGAAGCAGCAAGTTAGGGCATGCAGACAGCTGATTTTATCATATGCAACCAAAGTTAAACCTATCTAATAATATAAACAAATAATAATTTGCATGTAACCGTTTATGCTTTTTCTGTAATTCAACATATTCTGCGAATGTGTGGTGCTGATTAAGTTCCACTTTCTGTTTAATGCTTCTAGAAAACACTTTGTGATGTTACTGAAATATAGAATACCTAAGCAAGCATACGTAAGCAAGCAAGTAAAAACCACAAAGACTATTAAAGGGAAAGCAACTTGTCAAAGACAATGACATAAAACAAAGGGCAGGGCAGGACAAAAATGATGGGGGAATTCAGGAGTGTTCAAGAACAAAAGGAAAAAACTAATTCGAAGGAAAAAAGGGTAATCCGAAATTCAACGTCATTAATATTGTGTCCATTTAGAACATAATTTAGACCAAGTGAGAAAATTCTACCAATTAACAAAGCTTAACAGAAATTATGCACCATCTAAGCAGCTCCTTCTTCTGCTGTTTTGATGTTTTACCCATGTCTAAAATAATAGATTTTCCTCAATGAATAAATGCCTTCCTTTTGTCAGGTGTTTCTTTCCCAGGACCTATACACAGCAGTTATCAAACAGCTTATGGAAAATAACAATTTAGACTTACACAACTCATTGAAATTTCATTTTGTACAGCTTTCAGACAGGAAATAAGCAGCAGCTTAGCGGTGGAATGAGTATTTCCATTTCATAAAGTGCAGCAGTGAGATTTAGAAAAGCTGCTACAGTAGAACTGCAGGTCCATCTCAAACATCTTGTTCATCAGTAACATGATTACAGAAATAAAAATAAAAAAGAAGCTTTGTTTCAACAGTTAAATATCTTAACTAGGGCTGGGTACCGAACTTCGGTTCTTTTATGGTACCGACCGAAATGCTTCGGTTCTACAGAGTATCGAAACATGCCTCGTCTTTCGGTGCCAAGTTTCGGTGATTGGCTGTAACACTTAACGTGATTGCGTCATCCAGGAAAAATACACAGGTGGTCATGCCTACAGCCAGGGTTCATGTGTATCTGTTGTGAACTGGTTGTGAGCGTCGTGGAACCCCTTTAAAATGCCCCCCAGGTCAAAAGTGTAGCTTCACTTTATTAAGACTGATGCTAATAGTGCGCAATGCAATACATCGTGCACGGAAATAATTTAAGAGCAGAAAGTTGCTCGGTGTTTGACTGCAAGAAGAGCGGACCGCAGCCGGCGCGACCATCCTCCTCTCAGCAGCCCGTGGGCAGAGCAAAGCCAGAGCGGAGTGAATCATGCTGCTTTCAAACTGGACGCAGCAGAAGCAGCAAAATCACGTCTGCTAATTCCTTTTTTGCTGCTTCTACCAGTTAGTTCTGATGCGCGGCTGAAGAAGCTTTGCTGCTCTTGCTGCGCGGTGCAAAAGTGTGTCTGACGCGCGTTGGGCGGAGCTTCACTATCCTTTATTTGCCTTTCAGCTATATTTGCTGTGATCAGTGGGAATAAAGTAGTTTTATTATGTTTTTAAGTGGGAAAATCCACCTGAAAACTTCATCAGTGCAGTCAGTTCATCCTGCCTTCCAATATTTCTGTCGGAGCCGCTCAGACCCCCACATACCAGCGGTGCTCTGTCAGTAGGATCCCATTCAACGGGCTTGTTTGTCAGACATGGTAATATTTCTAAAGGGAAACTGCTAAGTAAAAAGGTCCTCACAATGTAACAGTGAATATTAGACACTGAATTTTTTTTTTTTTTTATGTAAGAGGAAAAATCTAAATGGAAAAATCAGAGCTTAAAATAAAACTCAAGATTTGTACTTTTTTATGTTGTGTAATTTTCTTTTTTTTTTTGAATTGATATTATAAAACTGGTATCGAAAAAAGTATCGTTCAGGAACCGGTATCGAAGTGAAGGTATCGGTATTGGTACCGGAACCGAAAATTTTTGAACAATACCCAGCCCTAATCTTAACAGTGACCAGCATCTTTGATGTCTTCCAGTCAGGTTTCCATGCTCACCACTGTACAGAGATTGCCCTCATCAGACATAACAACAGTAAGAAATGTGACCTGTGACCACAGTGCCGGTATTACTGGATCTCAGTCAAACTTTCAACACTGGTCATCAAGGGACATCACTTAAGCAAAGAGCTTAACTGGGTCAGTCCTTCCAGTATAGCACTATACTGCTTTGATATTCATTTCAAGTTAATGCTTGTATTAATCTGGAACTCTACATTTAAGATGCCAAAAATCCTATGCAGCTTTTCCAAAGGTTGAAAATTGGGTCCCTTCCTATTCAATAACTACATCCTCCCCAAAATGGTGTCAGTATTCTGCCAAAAGTCCACACACCCAATAAATATTCCTAATAGCAGCTTACTTCATACAGACTCTCATAAACTACTCCTCACACATGTTACATGTGCAAATACAGTCTCAATGGCCCCAATATATCTCCTCCTCTGCACGCGTTTGGTTTAATATCCCTGCATGTGCAGCCTCCCTACTTCTAGTGTGTGGACCTGTTTCTGTGCACTCATGTTAGTTTTTGTCACTTTGAAGGAGTTACCCAGAGAAAAAAAGGAACCCCTCTGGGACTGGCTACCTTTCAGGCAATCCTGCATTTTGAGTTGTGAGGCATCGCCAAGGTAACCAGCGTAAACTGTCTTCCCGTTTCCAGCTAATCTTTGAGATAGCAGAAACTATCAGAATATTTGACCTGGATTTTTTTCTATAGAGCTTGTATAACCCTGTACAAAGGACACCCTGCAGCCAGTCAGAATCCAGTATTCATCCAGACATTGTTATATCTAATGATGCCTTTGCTTATCTTCCAATTATGGAAGAGAAGTGTATAGCCTGAAGTTGCTTTGCCAGTAAGAAGAAGAGTACAGCTTGAAGAGGTGGGATTTCCTGAAAAGAGGCCAATTACAGATGGGTTGCTTTATCCGGTGGGAAACGCCTTCAAGGTGAAAGAAGTGAACACGAGCGCACAGAATCAGTTCCACACGTGAGGACCAGGGAGGCTTCACACGTATCGAAATCAAACCACGCATGCGCAGAGAAGGAACAAGAGCTCCAGTGTGATATATTGGAGCCCCGTAATATTCTATTGTATGTAACATATTAAACATATTTATGAGCATCTGTATGAAGTAAAGCTGCTCATAGGAGTATTTATTGTGTGTGGACTTCAGGTAGAATACTGATGCCATAGCCCCTACCGTAGATCTGATTATAACAAACAATATCATAAGTAACAAAAGATACAAGAATATACACATATCTACTTCAATGTCACGAGATTATTATAAACCACCTAAAATTTGGGTTGATCATATAAAATCAATAATGGAAAAATTATTTTTGGTCCAAAGGATTAGTGATCACGAGTTAGACAGCTTTAGTTTCTACTGCTATAAACTACAGATCCGGCTAATGCTAAATGGCTACAAAAGATTTACATACATAAAGATTTTAAAGATTTCCCAACTTTTCTTGATGGGTGATTGGCTGGTCCTCTAAGATTAATTTTTTTTAAACATCAATCTTTGTACTAAAATATTCTGTCATGTTTGTGGACATTAATATCTAAAGAGAAACACCTTCTTCTGGTCAGACCCAGTAATTCTGTGAAAGGGTGGAGTCAGAGTAAAAAAATATGCATGTCAAGGAGAAGGAGGGGGTCACTCCAGTAGCTGGAATTGCTGCCATTCAGCTTGCATTTCACTGGGAAGGGCCATTTTGAATGGCTGCTACTGTAATTGTGGCCTTCTTTTACCTGAAGAACATTTCCAGGATTAAAAGACCAATGTTCCAAGAAGATGTTAAAACTGTAACAGGGTCCTCACAGATCTGCCTAAAAAGAAACTACAGATGATTCAGAGCTACAGAACACTGTTGCTGTGGCATCTTAAAAAAAAGAAAGAGGTAGAGTAAAGCAACAGAGCTCTAAGGTCCTTACAATGTCTCCCTGCCTGCTTTACAGCCCTATAAACCAAAACTAGAGACAAGCATTCAGTTTTTGTGCTGTACTGATCTGGATGAACTTTCCAGAAAAATGCAAAAAAGCTAAAACCAAACCATGTGATCTTTTGAATAAATGTCAAGAACTCATTTGCTTAACATTCTCTTTGAATGTTCAATTTAAATGTATAACTGAAACATCGTTGTAAGTCAAGCCTATCTATACATGCCATCATTATACTATTTTCCCTGTGTCTTTTTTTCTTATATTTCCACCATGTAAAGCACTTTGAAATTTCATGACTCTCATCTGTTATAGAAAGGAACATGTCTTTCCTTGAAAAGGTTGAGATAAGCTTAGTAATAAAATAATAAATCCAAAACAATATCAAGAGGGTTTTATACATGCTCCTGTACTTTTGACCCACTTTTAAATAGGTAAGCTGAGCCAAAGTGATTTGTCATGAGCAAGAGGAACAGATGACTAAGCTTCGGCCCAGCGCTGAATGAGTAAACATTGCAGCCTCATTCAAGTCCAATGTTACAAGTTACCATGGAATAATCACAAACCAACCCCTCAATTAATGTTTATACTTACTGGACAGGACTCCAACTCATGAATGTAAGCCATTTGGAAAAGAAATTTACCATGCATGTTGTAATGAAAGTATATTTTCCATCTGACATTTCTGTTACCATTATAACTCTAAAATAATGGAGCTTTGGATTTAAAGTTGGATTTTTTTTTTAGCATTCACTCAGCATTCTCTTTGGATTTTATTTTTAAAATCAGGATAAGAGAAAGTGACAAGAGTACTATATTTATACATATCTTGATAAAAAAAAGAACTGTTTCGGAGCTAGATGGGGTTCCTGGGGTGGCCATGGCCACCCTTAGCCAATCATTGGCTAGCCCTGTGGCCACCCCTACCTTTTTTTCCCCCATCTAATACAGATGATGACAGCAGTAATACTCTCTAGTGGAATATTCAAAACATTTTTGTGTGTGTGTTGAATCACACACATCAATCTACTAACATCAAAGATGATAAATACAGAATTCATCTTCTTTTCAGAACTAGATTTAGTGTTATATGGGGTAAAGAGAAAAATATGTGTCTCTGCAAGTCATCTTGGAGTTTTTAGTGAATCCATAGATACATAATTTTAATCCAAACTTACAAAAAAAAAAATCAATTAATGTAGATATTAGTTCTTGTAAATATTAACTTTATGTAGAATGTTCATTGAAACAAGTAGTTCAGTAATGACGATGGAAAAGATTTACGCCCCAGAACTCAAAACTGAGTTTTATCCAATATACCTTTCATCTAGAAATTATGGATCTTTAAATATATGCATCTATCTGGTAGCAAAGGCTGTAGAAAAGGATAGTTTGTCTTTATTTAGAAAATATTGATGTTTTGCTCATTCCTGTTGGAACAGTGTAGATTGACCCTAAGGTTCTGGTGCCTATCCGTATTCGGCCACCCCTCATTATACATGGGTTATTGCCTGGCCAAATAATTTCTGGAAACCAATCTTTTTACATGTTTAGATCCACGTCCTATCGCCCCTTATGTGTTTAAAAGTAGCTGCTGGAATATCCCTTAAACATAGGAGGAATACACTGAATTTTGGGATATTGTGATTTTGTTGCAGTGAAAAGATTCCTAAAAATTGTGCAGGATTTATTATATAAAAATGCATGGCACCAAAACTACTATTGGCCCAGTTGGTCCACATGTGAATTAAATCATTGCACATCTGTTTGGAATAAATGTGTTTTGAGATTTTCCTGGATAAGCATGGTCAAACTTACCACTAATTTTATCATCATGTAAAGCAACTTATCTGCTTGGCACAGATTAAGTATAGTAATGTGACCATTCCCTTTTTTTTTTTTCTTCAAGCCTCTGACTCTCCTCACCTTGCTGGCCTCCTGTATGAGTCTTCTAACCACCTCCTTGATGTGAGGTCCGTTGTCTTTGGGCGGGTGTGTGTGCACGGCCACCCGGGTCACCCCTTTGAACAGCCCCCCGCTGGGCCAGCCGATGTCCAGCGACGGAACCTCAGTGTCCGACATCTGCGGCCAATAAGTGGAATTAACCCCAGAGTCCGCGTCGGTTCCACCAGAGGCTCCCTGCTCCGACCTGGAGGCAGCCGTCTTGCTGCTGCTGCTGTCAGAGTCATACTGTTTGAAAGTGCTTTGCAAAACTTTGACTTCCCTCGCAGACAAAAAGTCTTTGGCTTTGTCTTCCTTAAGACGCGTCTTAAAAGCCCCGTCCCCGTTCTTCAGCAGTTCCTCTATGGCACAACGCTGCTCCTCGCTGTAGTAAAACTCCGGTTTGTTCTCCGGTACTTTGGCTCCGATGTGCCCGTCCTCCATGACCATAAGCTGGGATTCAGCCATGGCTGCGGTAGACCACACACACCCCTATGGAAAAAAATAAATAAAAATAATAATTATAAAACAAAGAAAAGAGAAGAAAATCCTCCCCAACAATTCCCAGAATGCTTCCTCGGTATGACTAGCCTATCTGTGAGAGCACACAGGTAAAAATTAAGCTGGGAAAGTTTTCTTACCTGACCGGGAGCGTCAGCATGATGCCTTCACGTGCTGTTGGAAAAACGTAAACTGAATATATAAAATCTACTCACATGCTTTGAAAAAAAATGATATAGTGTTTATATTTAGTTTAATTATCTTTGTTTGAAATGATTTAATCACAAATATGTTATTTTTCATAATTATTTCACTGATAGGCCTCAATACATTATTTTTTTAAGGCTTACCCCTTTTTTTGTCTTATTTCAGCATTTCACTGGTTAAACTAGCAAAGGATATCCATATATATGTTTTAACAGTAAAGAAACGCTTGATTTTATCAAAGAAAAAGTTGTATGAAGTCATACCGTGATCTCACGGATGGAAAATCCTTCTAATAATTACAGAGTCCGATGATACTGAATTGTACATACAGCAATGCCAGCAGGAAAATATTATTCACCCTCCACAAGTTTCACATGTGCTCCTGGACTGTTAAAGTTGGTAATATGTGTATTATAATGGCCTACAAAAGGGCTTGTGAATGTTACGAAAGCAATATTGATTGTTGTATAAAAACACATTTAGTATTTGAGGAAAATATGAACATTTACCACTTGGTAGTTCACAACTTAGCTCACATTAGGTCTAATTTTACTGCATAGTGATATATTCTAAACTTAAGCTATTATTTTTTCAACAAAAATTATAAACATTTAATATTATAGATATTATTTATATATTTGAGTCCATCTCTCCTAAAGCATAAATTGCTCCATTAATATATCCATTAAGTCAACAAAATAAAGCAATTTGCCTATATTTGTCAGTCGTCATAGTGTCCGAAGGCCAAAAATTTAAAGTCCTGCAGTACTGACTATGTTTTCAACACCATATCAAGCTTAGTGAACAGTGATTACTAACAAAGGTTTAACAGATATCTTTTTTTTGTTTTTTTTTTTTGCTTGTTTTCTCTGTAATCATTTAAATTTAATCTTATGTGCTTACTAAGGGAGAGAACATGTTCCTGCTCTTTATGCACAGTGGCACCATCACGTTGAGACACACCTTTATTCAACTCAGATAAGTATGATTTCAAAGTGAACTAACGTGAACTTAATACACACATAACCACACAGTGTGCATAGGCGTTATGTGTATTAGAAAAAGATGGCAAGCACACATGCAGAAACTCTCAAGGTACTTTTCTTTTTTATTATAACATACTTTTGAAACAATAAACAATATTTTTTTTTCCATTGATATCAAGTTGCGCAAAATCTCTCTTATACATTCATATTAATCTTTGGGGTCATCTGATTTAAGTATTTGACATTATATAACCATAGACAGCCTGTTTAAAGGCAACCCACAGCACCTCAGTAAAATAAAGACAGGCTTTGACTCTACCCAGTGCTTTCATTACCTGATTCTCTGCATCTTTGGTGGGGTTTTTTGTAGGTATGTTTTGGATATTTGTCATACTTATGGGTCCAACTCTGATTAAACCATTTTCTCTTTTTTTGGCTGACAATCTTACATCTTTCCTAATCCCGCTCTGATAAACATTGTAAATGATTGTGGATTTTTTTTTAAAGCATCAAACCATTACACTTTAAGATGCTCCACATTTGTTATGAATTATTCCTCTGCATTGGTGGTTCTAGACAGGGTCCAGCAGTGACCCTGTGGAACTGGTCCTGGCCCATTTTATGGCCCTATAATAAATTAATGATAAATTAATTAAGATAGGAGCTGGAACAGAAACTGCAACTGATGGGTCCCTTAAACCGATTCATTTTTTATATATATATTTACAGTGTTGTTTTATTCATGATATAAAAATTAATTTTTTGCACTTTAGCTTCAGCTTTTAGAGCAGCAAATGGCTTTCAGATGCTCCACATTTGTTATGAATTATTCGTCTGCATTGGTGGTTCTAGACAGGGTCCAGCTGTGACCCTGTGAAACTGATCCTGGCCCATGTTATGGCCCCATAATAAATTGATGATTAATTAATTAAGATAGGAGCTGGAACAGAAACTGCAACCGACAGGTCCCTTAAACCAATTCATTTTTGAAATATATTTACAGTGTTGTTTTATTCATGATTTAAAAATTAAGTTTTTGCACTTTAACTTAATCTTTTAGAGCAGCAAATGGCTCTTTGGAGCCATGAACTATTCAGCCATATTTGCTGTCTGTTTTATTCTTGTGCATAGTGCCCCCATGAAAAAAAAAGCACTGGCCCCACCTCAGCCCCCCTGGTAGATTTGATGTATAACCACCACGGTCTTTCTGGAATACTTTATTTGGATGATTTGGTGTCTCTTTTTCCACAGCTTTATTTTAATGTATCTGTCCAAATAACATGATCCCAGAAGTCTAGATCTTTTTCTGGGTTGTTTCTGACAGACATCAGTCCTCCCTGGTTTTCCCCAAAGCAGAGATTTTCTCCTTGGAAACCTTGAATAAATGTTCATCTTTCTTATGAGAAGCCTGGTAGTGCAAGACCTTTGTAATTCTTGTGATCTTCAGGTTTCCCTGAGATTCAGAATCAGCTTTATTGGCCTGTGATTGTGCACATAGTTAAGGAAATATGACTTCAGTTACATATACAGTGCAAATACATCATGCACAATATGTACACAGTATATGTGTTTTGTTTTAATTTTTTAAAGAAAAAATTATATTGCTGGTGTAGATTAGGCATCCGGGTCATGCTAGGTAAAAAAAAACAACAAAAAAACTCAATCAGAAGCAAGTGGATTAATTGTAATCTTTAAAAAAAGTCTTTCAACCTCTTCTTCTAAAAAGCCTTCAGCTCAAATCATATACAAAAATGATAAAAACTGCTTCTGATTCTTTTTTTCATCATAGTGTTTGAAACAGAGTGAATGAAATGGGAGTGCATGAATATGCCGTATATATATTACTTGATGTATTTGTGCACCCATGAACAATCATAGATAAACATCAGGTGGTGCTAGAGTACCTGCTCTTTCACTCTGGACCTCCTGAAATGTTGTTTTTCTTTTTAAGTGTTTGGCCTTAGCAACTTTTTTGAATTCAAAAGCCCTTATTACCAGTGCTTTTTGCCCAGTTAGACCCCCCAACAAACACACATACACATACATGTTTGTATTTCTATCCATATTATGACTTTACATTGACTTACATTCATAAAAGCCCGTGCATGACATGTAGGCTGATAACTGCTCTTTTCTTGACCCTAAACCTGTCAAACTCTTACAGGGAGAGTCAGTCTCAACATCCTTCTCTGTAGACCTACTTGTTTAAATCAGATTTGACCCGTTCTTGTTTGACGTTGTGCCAAACCACACTGGAATGGATGAAACAGGACAGACTGAACAAAGGCCTTGTAGAAGATGACTGTCAGTTCTCGTTGGAGATTGTACTTTGTGAGTTGCTCCAGGAGGTATAGTAGCTGTTGCGCTTTCATCTTCAAACTTCTTTAAGCATCTTTGGTCTGCTTAAAGGGTGATCTTAAAGGGTAAATCTTTTTCTGAATAACCTCTGCTTTAAAGTATTTTTCGCAAAATGGAATGGTTCATTTCAAATTCTTCTCATACACTTCGCCATATTATGCACCTTGTGTGATATGTTAAATTAAAGCTTTATGCATTACAATTGGTATGCATGGGTTCTTTCAAATTATTTTGTCACCAGAAATTGTGTTTTTATTAAATTCCATAAAATAAGTAAAAACAAATAATACTTTTCCTTATTTTTATTTAGTATATTACTTTTCACTCATGATTTTAATTATTAACATACACTCACCGGCCACTTTATTAGGTACCCCATGCTAGTAACGGGTTGGACCCCCTTTTGCCTTCAGAACTGCCTCCATTCTTCGTGGCATAGATTCAACAAGATGCTGGAAGCATTCCTCAGGGAGTTTGGTCTATAGTGACATGATGGCATCACACAGTTGCCGCAGATTTGTCGGCTGCAGATCCATGATGCGAATCTCCCGTTCCACCACATCCCAAAGATGCTCTATTGGATTGAGATCTGGTGACTGTGGAGGCCATTTGAGTACAGTGAACTCATCGTCATGTTCAAGAAACCAGTCTGAGATGATTCCAGCTTTATGACATGGCGCATTATCCTGCTGAAAGTAGCCATCAGAAGTTGGGTACATTGTGGTCATAAAGGGATGGACATGGTCAGCAACAATACTCAGGTAGGCTGTGGCGTTGCAACGATGCTCAATTGGTACCAAGGGGCCCAAAGAGTGCCAAGAAAATATTCCCCACACCATGACACCACCACCACCAGCCTGAACCGTTGATACAAGGCAGGATGGATCCATACTTTCATGTTGTAGACGCCAAATTCTGACCCTACCATCCGAATGTCGCAGCAGAAATCGAGACTCATCAGACCAGGCAACGTTTTTCCAATCTTCTATTTACCAATTTTGATGTGCTTGTGCAAATTGTAGCCTCAGTTTCCTGTTCTTAGCTGAAAGGAGTGGCACCCGGTGTGGTCTTCTGCTGCTGTAGCCCATCTGCCTCAAAGTTCGACGTACTGTGCGTTCCGAGATGCTCTTCTGCCCACCTTGGTTGTAACGGGTGGTTATTTGAGTCACTGTTGCCCTTCTATCAGCTCGAACCAGTCTGGCCATTCTCCTCTGACCTCTGGCATCAACAAGGCATTTCCGCCCACAGAACTGCCGCTCACTAGATGTTTTTTCTTTTTTGGACCATTCTCTGTAAATCCTAGAGATGGTTGTGCGTGAAAATCCCAGTAGATCAGCAGTTTCTGAAATACTCAGACCAGCCCTTCTGGCACCAACAATCATGCCACGTTCAAAGTCACTCAAATCACCTTTCTTCCCCATACTGTTGCTCGGTTTGAACTGCAGGAGATTGTCTTGACCATGTCTACATGCCTAAATGCACTGAGTTGCCGCCATGTGATTGGCTGCTTAGAAATTAAGTGTTAACGAGCAGTTGGATGGGTGTACCTAATAAAGTGGCCGGTGAGTGTATGTTTTTGACATGAATCTTTATTTTACGGAAGTGATGTTA